CCCCCCCCCCCCCCCCAACGAAAAAAAAAAAAAAAAAACTTCATATGCCCTCACTATATCAGCGGCACTTTTGAACAAAATGTTATGTGGGCAATATGTTCGTCCTCTTATCCTATCGGGTAGCCAGCAAATCTAACTCTTTAGAGTTTGTTGCTGGGTCTTTCCTGCCTGCTCGGTGTGGCTACATGCCGCCAGGTAGCAAGCAATTTTTTTTTGTTTCCTCTCCTCCCCCCCCCCTTTCCCCCCTCCCTCTTAGAACAGGTCCTTATGGCCCTGGCTCCATATCTCTTCAGGGGAGCATCAGTCCGGTTCCTATTCCAGGGATTGAGCCCTCATGACAGCTGCTACAAAGGCCGTGGCCACGCGTAGCGCAAGGGCCCCCCCAGCAAGCAACGTGCCCGCCCTAAGTGAAGGCTGGCCTGATATCAGACATGGGGCCCAACTTTTGTCATTTCTGCATTGAGGGGCGGCAGACAGTTACCACACGGCAGTTATTTACAGGGCAACACCTCAGTTGGGCTGCTCAGCTGCTGCGAGCCCAGGACGGTGTCTGAAGGGGTCTGGGCGCAGACACTTTGGCCCAACGTGAAGCTACTGGGCACTCCTACGCCAGGCCCAGGCAGCCAGGGGCTGGGCTGCACTTTCCATATCGGAACATGCCTCGCCCAGCAGAGGGACATTCTGGCCTGGCAGGCAATGCGGCCAAGCTGCTGCACCGTAGCGCGAGCGGGCTGCATTAGCGCTGGCCAGAGGGGGCACGAGGGTGCACGAGGTGAGAGGGGCGCTGCGGTGGCAGCAGGAGCATGGCGGCCATAGCCTGGCTGCTGGGGCGCATGCTGGTCTGGCGACGGTGGTCTTTGGGACGAGGGTGCACATGTGGGGAAGGAGGATGTGAGTGAGGGGAGAGAAGAGGCACATATCTGGTGTATGCTGGCAGTCTGCGTCGGCGATGTCGTCCTCGGCTTCAAGTGACTCTTGTTGCGTATACGTAGTGCAGGCTAGTGTAGGCTGAGTAGAATAGGCTGGGCGCTGTGCGTCAATCAAGTAGAGCGACATTGGATACTATGTTGGTGTGGCGAGAAAGTGTCGGCATTGATATTTGACTTCATTGTACTGCTCTTATTTGGCTGGTATCTCGGTGCATTGTGCTTTCTGCTTGGTACACGACTATCTGGTCTACAGCGTGATATTGCAATTTGGTTTTCTGCCTGTCGCTCTCGCTCATTTTCCTTGCAGAAGGAACCTTGGATGGATCGAATGATGTCAGACATGCAGCACAGTCTTAGGGCATACACTAGGACTTTTTCTACTTTCCCCGAACAAAACGCACGTATGTACTATTCAACTTTCCCTGGAAAAGTCGATTTCTCAAAGTCGCCCCCTAAAATCCAAATAGTACGCACATTCAAATAGTACACATGTGTATGTTCTGTTCGAATAGTACTCACATATGTTCTATTAGAAAAAGCAGATGGGTGTTCTTTTCAAATAGAACATACCACCAGGTAAATCCCGTGCCTTGCTTTCCTTCTTCGTCGATGCCGACTCCTCCTTCGCTCGTTACCTCCCCCGTCTCTTCCCGTATCTGACCGCTATCATGGTCCAAGAAAACAAAATAGCGCGATCCAAGAAAACGAAATGCCATGCTTGTTTTCAAAAGCGCGCTCCCTGCAGAGCTTCCACCTGCTCTCGCTCTCTCTCTCAGAGCAGAGATAGATAGATAGATCGATAGATAGATAGATAGATAGAGATAGATAGATAGATAGATAGATAGATAGATAGAGAGAGAGAGAGAGAGAGAGAGAGAGAGAGAGAGAGAGAGAGAGAGAGAGAGAGA